TTTGGTTTTTCTGTTCTATTTATTTATTCATGAGCTAGTTATCTATGAACTTATCTCAGTATTTCAGCAATTAGCATATTAAGTCATGGTTAAACATGTAATGTGTGTCTTTTATATTAGTACTAAGAGGGAGATTAATATTTCAGATGGCTGAATTAGTCTGTTGTAATAAAATAATGTTTATTTCTAATAGGTAATCTATGGATATTTGTGATTTTTATGTCACTGTGTTCCTTTTTTGTTGGCCCTTTATATTACTACAAACTAAATTACAGTTAAATTCAAGATACTATACTTATTGGCTTACATATGGGGCAAAAATTTGAAATTAGAATAACTATTTTATGTATTATAAAGACTAAAAGCTATTAAGTAAATCTGATGGGCACTCTCCACTGAATAAATTGGAAAGGAACTGTTTGTTTTTACCAGTTGGAAAAAATTTTATTCAAAGGAGTTAAAAAAAAATGGACATGGATCTGAGAGCCATAACATCTGTTAGGTCAGAAAATATTATTGTCCTCAAGTTATTTCATGCAATTTACATTCAAGCTTAGAATCATGTTTCAATTTATTAGACTGTACTCTAGGTTGATATATTTTATTTTTAAACTAATCACTTTTATATTTGATCTTACTAATATATAAAGAAGTTTAGATCCATTTTAGTAAAAGTTAATTCATTTTACTTTGAAACACTAATAGTAAAAATTTCTAATTTTTATCAAAGCAAATAATTACTACAAATGGACAAAGTCCATCATTAAATATCTGACTAAGGAATTCTGTGAGTTTGGGCACTAGCAATCAGGGCTTGAACTTCTCACCTAAGAAACAGAATCATAGATACCCACTATGCGACTAGATAAATCAAAGGCTAATCATGGGCTAAATTTCATTTCCAAGTTGCTCTGAAACCCTATTAAGGGTATGTAGGGTGCAATTTATATGGTTGCTTTCCAATTTACCTGACCAAAGTTGTAATCTTTTCAATACTTCATGCATATTTGGAACATATGGTCATATCACCCTGGATGTGATGTTCGTTTAATCTCGGAAACTAAGCTGGGGCAGGCCTGGGTAGTACTAGGATGGAAACTTCTTTAAAATATAAACTTCATTCTAGCAAACCATCAAATAATATTTAAGTCTGAAGGCCCAGTCTGACTCTGTTCACAGAAAAAGCAAATGCCGTGTTCTCAACACTCTAGTATTAGTTTCTTTAAAAAGACCTGAAAGAAAACATTTTCAATTAAAGAGGAGAATTAAGAAGAATGTTCTAAAGTGGCAAGGCTGAGATCACAGACATCAGAGACTGTGGTACAGAGACAATGGCACAGAGTAAAGAAGGCAGGCCAAAACCAGAAGCCGAGGCATAGAAACCAAGAGATGAAACAGAAGAGAAGTACAGAGACTATGGGACTGTGAGGCCAGCTTCCTGGTCCATGGAGGCAGAGACCACAGAAGCATGTGATGAGAAGCTGAGGAGAGCTATTACTGTGGATTTATAATTGTATCCGTACTGTTTACTGGTCCTGATTTGTGGTAACCTACTAATTTCTTGAATAACTTCCCCATACTTGTGTATTTTCTGTGAGTTCAGTGTGGCTACTGCAATAAATTAACAAGCCTAGCATAGAAATAGAGTGCCAGGCACAGGGAATACATGGGCTATCAGAAATCGGGAAGGACATAAACACAGAGGAGGCACAATTTGACCAATGGGATATACTAAAGATAAAACACTGTGTACATCAAAAGTATTCGCCAAGAGAACAGGAAAGACCACAGAATGGGAAAACATCTTTAGCAATGACGCATCAGACAAAGCCCATATTACTAAAATCTACAATACTCTGCTAACTTAAAACAAGAAAAAAAAACAAAAACCAATTGTCCACTCAAGAGGTGGGCAAAGGACCTGAACAGAAGTTTCTCAAGGGCAGAAATCCAAATGGCCAATAAATATATGAGAAAAGGTTCCAGATTGCTAGCCATAAGAGAAATGCAAATGAGAACAACTATGAGATACCACCTAACACCCTCAAAGATAGCCCAATTCAAGAAATCAGAAAGTAACAAGTGTTGGAGGGGATGCGGAGAGATAGGAACTCTTGTCCACTACTTGTGGACCTGTAGGTATGTACAGCCATTATGGAAACTGATTTGGCGATATCTAAAACAGTTGGAAATTGAGCTACCATATGATCCAGCAATCCCCTACTGGGCATATACCCAGAAGAGACAAGGAAAAAACCATGGCCACACATCTGTGCCCCAGGGTTCAACAAGGCACCGTTCACAATTGCAAGGAGTTGGAAACAGCCCAGATTTCCATCAACAGATGAATGAATTAAAAAACTGTGATACATACATACAATGGAGTATTACACATCCCTAAAAAGCAGTGATGAACGCATGAAGCGCATTGCCACATTGGAAGAACTGTAGGAAATTATGCTAAGTGAAATAAGCCAAGCACAAAAGGGCAATTACTGCATGAGTCCGCTGAGGTAAGCTCAAAATATTCAAAAAATATACATACGTCCCTGGGGTGGGGCCCAGGTAATATGGCAGGGGCCAGACTAAACTCAGGGATACATATGGTAGCCACTAGAAAGGGGGGTGGGGAAGACATGGGTAGCTGGGGGAACAGGGCACTAACCCACAAAGGGGGAGGGTGTTGATTGTGTTTCCACAGGGAAAGAGGGACTAGACTTCAACCCAGTACTCCAAGACAAGAACACAACACACTGACATGAAGCAGGGAACTGAGAGAGGCCTGAGGGGCCGGCCCCATTCCCAATTAAGTGGACAGCACCAGCCTCTCCCACAGAAGAATTCACTTCAGAGGACAGCACTGAAGCTACAGCTTAAGGAGTGGGACTTGTCTGATTAGAGCACACAGGAGCCAAGGAGAGGAGAAGGGGGGGTGGGGGGTGAGGCACATCTTAGAGCTCACCAAGCCCTGGAGACAATTATGTTCCTGCTCAGAGCAGCAATGCAAAGATGACCACAGGGCCGGCCCCACCATGGGGCACAGCATTCCTGACTGACCCATAACACCATAGGGGACAACACTAGAGACACACAGCGGGAATTGTGCCCTCCCAGAGCCCACTTTGCCGAAGCCAGCCACTGGGGGCGTGTAGTATAGCAGCTGGGGGGAGCAGGGCAATGAAGTCCCCAAGGAATGCCAGGGATAGATGTGGGGACAGGGCATGGCAGCCCTTCAGACTCGACTGGAAAGCACTTGTAAAGGACAATAGACCTTAAACTATTTATAAGGTTTGTTGTTGTTGTTGTTATAGCTATTGTTTTATTTTCTATTGTTGCTTGCTTTGTTGTACTTGGTCTTGTGATGGTGCATATTGTTGTCGCTACATGTCTACCTGGAAGTGATAGGCGGGATAAACAAGCCGGAAGAGAGAACTGGATGACAGGTCCGGAGGGAAATGGGAGAGGGGGAGGCGGGACAAAGGAAATGGGTGTTAACAAACCCAGGGACAAGGGAACAACAAGGGATCGAAAATCAGTGGCAAGGAGGGTATAGGAGGTCTGCCAGGGCTGGATCAAGGACAATATAACCGAGAGGAATTCCTGAAACCCAAATGAAGGCTGAACATGATAGTGGGACAAGAGGAAAGTACAAAGAAAAAGAAGAAAGAACTAGGAGGCAAGAGGCATGTATAGAGATCTAAATGCAGGCATATACAGATGTAAATATATTTATATACGAGGAGGAAATAAATATAAATATATATATATATATTTATATGTTTAGTATTAAGGAAAGGATGTGTTTTTCCCATTAATCAGTTTATGGACATTTAAGTTGTTTCTGCTTTTTGACTTGTGAATAAAGTTGCTTTGAATGTGCAAAAAAATAATTTTAAATTCCCCTTCAAAAAAATGATTGAAAATAGATCAGTAGCAAGTTCCATCTTTCCTAGTGCATAGTCTTTAGAACTCCTGTGGTGCTTGTGCCCCACACCCAGGGGATAAGGTAGCTTGCTAACAGTGTAAATACAATGCATGGCACCTTTGTCAAGTAAGACCAGCCAAATAAGGTACTGGCCACTGATAATGGAACTCCCCAATCCAGGAGAAAGCAAGCTGTGACACCAAGGACAGCGAAAGATGGTGAGAAGCAGCTTTGAGAAATGGAGGCAATAAAACCGAGAGACCACATCACATGGAGCAGTGACGCAGTCCAAAGAGCTGAGTGCTGTCTTCAGCAAGGAGGCTTGCTGATAGAGTAGGGGTACCTCTTGCCACCTGTCTGGGCAGGTAGGCTTGGAGAATCAGAGCTAGAGCTGAGTGCCTTGAGGGCAAGGGTTAAGTACCAGAGTGGGGTGCTTCTGGAACTTATCAACAGAGCTAAAATATTTTGTTACACAACTGCCTGAGCAGGGCAGGGGGCAGACCAAGAGGCAGAGAAACATGGAAGCTTGCCTACAGGCATCGCTGTGAAGTAGCTGTCCTGATTAAAGAACTGCATACCATCATTTCTGATCCTAAATTGCAACCTGTCACTTCCCTAATAAAGTCCATCAACTTGAGTATTATCTGTGAGCTCTACGTGGCGACTGGAATAACTTACTGAACCAAACAGAAAAATCAGAATGCTTTGGAAGAGACAAGTTGGTGTTAAAATTGAGTAAAGGTTTGATGGTACAGACAGACGTGACCTTTGCCTCACAAAAATCAGCCTGAAACTACTGATCTTGGTCATCCTTCTGTCTTGTAAAGAGGGGGTGAGTTGCCCCCCACTATGTCAGTTTTGCACATACTAAATAAATTTTTAAACGGATAGTCAAATCTCTTACTTTTAAAATGCATATAATCTAAAAATAATACAACTTTGGAAGTCAAAATAGTGAAACTCCAAATTCTGACTCATAGTTTTTATAAAAAATATGTATACATATTTTACAAAAAATATGTATACTGCTTATTGTGAAACACTTCCATTTTACACACTACACTATAATACTTACAAGTTGATGTTCTAATTGTTGGATTTTTTCATCTCTTTTCTTTATTTCCTCTTTAAGTTGCTTTATTTCATTTAATAAATCTTCATTCTGTAATATTTACAAAAAATTAAGATGTGTTATTAAACTGCATTTCAAAGATACTGAAAGTCATTCAATCAATTAAGAAGACACAGGGATGAATGAACTGCTTATCTAGGGGGATAAGTCCTCCTACATCCAAGAGTATATGCTAAGTACTGGACTTAAAAAAAATTTTTAAATGAATTTAGTTTTCCTAAGAAGTTACTGTCTCATGGAACCTGAAATAGAAAAAAATGAATAGCAGTAGCAGCTACAACTAAGATTTACTGAGTACTTATTAAGTACTAGAAACATTTGAGAATTGATCCTAACAAACTTCATGTATGTACTATAATTTGCAGATAAGCAAACTGGTACATAGGCCATACAATGTGATAAATCAAATGCAAAACAAGAATGTCCACTAAGATTTCAAATACACAATGTCTGTCAGATAAAACAAAAAAGGTCCACTAAGCAAAGGGAATAGCATAATTCAAGGAGACTCATTCATGCTATGTTAGAAAAAATCAGCTGAAAGACAAGTGTGCACGGGAGTAGAAAGGTGTGTGTGTGCACGCGCATGCACGTGCGTCTTAAGAGATTCTTTTTCCATAAACCATATCCATCTGACAAAGTTGCCTCAATCACCTTAAGAAATTTCTAAAGCTATGGAATGAAAATGTACCATCAAGTTAAGGATTAGAAGAATTTCTAAACTGTATTTTGATGACTATATATTTAGCCTTTTTATACACCAATTGTTATACAGAAGTTCCTTTTACTCCTATTGAGAAATAAGTACAAGTAAGGACATTGTAAGTGATAGGCTAGCATACTGTATTTCCACAAGAAAATAATTATAATGTTTTGCTTAGAGGAAAGTACATGTAGAGTAGAAAAAAAATAAATTGTATTCTCCTTAAAAGGATATCAGATGGTGCCTGGTTATCAAAAGATTCAGCGTCTGGGGTCTTAAAAGCTTTTAGTTAAACAAGAGGCCATCTACCAGGGAAGCAACAAAGCTCACGTGGAAGAAGCACACCAACCTGTGTGATCATGAGATGTTGAAGTGAAGAGACATCAGAAGTTCAAAAACATACAACCAAATCAATGTGAAAGAGTGGGATGTAGTAGAGACCCAAAACCCACAGGTAAGATAATTGGGCATCCCTCTCAGAAGGAATGGATAATAAATCTAGGGTACAGTATGGCATTGAAGAATCACATAATTATCCTATAGTTCATAAATATTTCCTCCCCTTACTATTATGGTTTTTACTTGTTTTACCCTTTTAATCTAGTTGGATTTGTATATGTTTATTTGTATATTTAAGATTATGCGGTACATGAAAATCAAGATATATACCCCTTCAAAAATAGTTAAGGGTGTAATGGTTTCCTGAGAGGGGGAGGGATGAGGAGTTTATAGCAATGATGATTGTATAACCTTACTGAATGGGATTGAACAACAGAACCGACCGTGAATGCATATATTGGATTGTGAAAGATATTAATAAAACTATTATATAAATACAAAAAAGACTCTAAGTTGCTTGCTACACAAACAAGAATCACAAACATACAATAAGATTATAGTACACTTGGAATGAAGAATCTATTTTTCAACCTTAGTGTTCCAACATGATCTATGGTTTCTTTTTGGTCTATGATTAGTACAAGTCTTATTTTAAATATTTACTACTGCTAATATTTTTATTGGTATGGAGTTCATAAACTGAATTACATAAGAAAATTACTTATGAGTTATATGATTTCCAACTTAAAATAATGATAGAAATACAACACAAACTTTATCTATAGAAGTTATCATTTTTTCCAACTCTACCAACCAAATAAAAGCGTAAGGAATTATTAAATATATTATGTTAAAACAGATAGCAGAATTACATATGCATAATTAATAAAGCGAAGAACACAAAGCGAGGGAAAATGTTTTTATAATATCGTACTTATGTGTATCACAACTGAGATAGGTTTATCATCGTATAAAAAAAATCTACCGTTGAATTTAAAAATTTAGAAAATTTTAGAAATCTTAAGCCAAGAAAAAAGAAAATGAGTTACAGATCATTTTTAACTGTGTGGCAAATGAAGCTATTATTAAATGACTCATGTAAAATTTCCACGCTTCTACATAATTGGCCTGCTTTAAAGTAGAATGTAAAATCATACCTCTACATAATAAATTATTTGATGGACCAGCTGGAAAAAAACAAAAAGTTGTCTAAAACACTTGAGAGTAATATTTTTGTTGTTGAAAAAGATTGTTTAAACGTAGAACTGCTAATTTAGAGAATCAGAATGGGGGAGGTAAATTTTGCTTGCAAAAACAGTCACAGCAGTACATCAAGAAGGAGCTGAGAGAAATTCAAAACAGAGTCAGAAGAGAACATGGCAAGAAGGCTATCAATGCTGGCATCAGATGGGGCTTGGCACAAAGCAGAAATTGCCAGAATGATGTTTAATTGTGTTTTAAGGGCTATTTAAGGGCACATGACTGTCTGGATAATAACAGACCATGTACAGTATTGAAAGGAATGGAAATTACAGAACACTTCATTGCGTGATTGCAGAACCTGTACATAGACCAAGAAACAGTAATTCAAACAGAACAAGGGCATAAATCCTGTGTGGTTTAAAATCAAGAAAGGTGAGCTTTTGGTTGCATCCTTCCACCAAATTTATTCAATCTGTATGCTGAACAAATAATGGAAGACGCAGAACTATATTAGGAAGAGCATGGCATCATCAGGATTGGAGGAGGCTTACTAATAGCCTGCCATGTGTGTATGACACAACCCTGCATGCTGTAAGTGAAAAGGACTTGAAGCACTTGCTAATGAAGAGCAAAGACTATAGCCCCCTATATTAACTGCAATTCAATATAAAGAAAACAAACATCCCCACAACTAAACCAGTATACAACGTCATGATAAATGGAGGTAAGTTTGAAATTGTCAAGGGTTTCAACGTACATGGATCCACATCAATGTTCATGGAAGCAAAAGTCAATAAATTTAACACCATAAGGTACTGGGCATATCTGCTACATCAGGCCTCCTTACAGTGCTGAAGGTGTCACTGTGAGGATTAAGGTTCAATTGAAAAGCCATGGCACTCAAAATTGCCACGTAAACATAAGAAAGTAGGGCAGTGAATAAGAAAGAATGTGGGGGGTGGACAGCAGAGAAGAGGGCGGAGGGAGACGTCGGAGAGTGTAACTTATGACAAAACTATAATAATTTATGAATTATGAAGGTTCATGAAGGAGGGGGGAGTGGGGAGGGAGGGGAGAAATAAGCAAATGATATTAAGGGCTAAAGTAGAGGGCAAATGTTTTGAGATTGATGAGGGCAACAAATGTACATACGTGCTTGACTCAATGGATGAATGAATGGACTGTGATAAGAATTGTACGAGCCCTCAATAAAATAATAATAAAAAAAAAGAATGCAGAAGAATTGACACATTTGAATTATGATGTTGGTAAATAATAAAAATACCATGGGCTGCCAAAAGACAAAAAATCGGTCTTTAAAGAAGTAAAGCCAGCAAGCTCCTCAAAAGCAAAAATAGTGAGATTTTGTCCCCCATATTTTGGACATGTTATCAGGAGAGACCAGTCCATATAAAAAGACATCAAGCTAGGTAAAGCACAAGATTAGCAAGAAAGAGGAAAATACTCAATATGATGGGCTGACACCGTAGTTGCAGCAATAAACTCAATCACAGCAACAACTGTGGGAATGGCATAGTACCAAGCTCACTGTTTTGTTCTGTTGTACGCAGAATCACTATGAATTGAAGCAAACACCACAGTCCCTAACAACAAGACTAACAAGATGGAGACGTGGATTCAGAAGGTGATTTGAGAAGGAACAGGTAGTTAACAAACAGGTACAATAAACAGCTGTGACTACTTGTTGTTAGGTCCCAATGAATTGGGTCCGACCCATACCAACCCTACACACAACATAACATAATGAAACACTGTCTGCTACTGCAACTTCCACAGAATTGCTCCCTGCTTGGGCCCACTACAAGCCCATACTATTTTGATTTTGAATATCTATACACAATATTGTTCACAATAAACTGTTACCTCTTTCATATGAAAATTAAACCCAGCTACTTCAATTGCTTCCAGGTGTTATGTGTTGCTGTGATACTGGAGCAATGTCACTGGTATTTCAAATGCCATCAGTGTCACCCAAAGTGAACAGGTTTCAGAGGAACTTCCAGACAAAGAACAGACAACAAAAGAGGACTTGGCCACCCGCTTTGGAGCAAGGAGCTGCTGAACACATAATTTCAAAAAACTGTCAAATACTGAAGGCCTAACGAGTGGAAGCAGAACGTTGTCAGAGCTAGTGCCAGAGGATGGGCCCACTGGGTCTGACAAGGAGCTGATTTCTTAGAATGAAGTTGACCGTGGTGACGAAAATGAAGTAAAGCTTCTGGGAGGGGAACCTTTGATGTCTTCATGGGGCACAATGAGGGAAAAGAAAAACTGAGGCAAAACTTTGCTAAATGATTAAAATTTAGAATGTGTGAAGTATGAATTTAGGAAAATTGAAAGTGGTCAAAATTAAATGGAACACAAAGATCAATATTCTAAGTTTTGGTGTGCTGAAATGGTGTGGTATTGGTCATTTTGAATCAGAAAATCTTATAATTTAGTATACAAAGAATAACAAAATCAAGAAGAATAGCATGACATTCATTGGATATTCAAAAAAGATATTGCAAAATCATGAAGTGCAATGCTGTCTGTGATAGGATTATATTTATGTGCTTTCAAGGAAATCCAATCAATGCAATGATTACTGCACCAACCAAAAAAGCTAGTGATGAAGAAATTGAAAAATTAATCAATGAATTTAGTGAGAAATTGGTCAATGGTGAAATACAGATAATTATTGGTGATTGGAATGCAAAAGTTAGAAAGAAAGAGGTAGAACAGCATTTGGAGAATATGGACTCGGTGACAGAAACAAGGCAGA